CTCTGCCAAACTTTCAGCCCAAAGTTTATTGGGCTTGAAGACATTGGAAGTGGTAAAGGTATCCCAGATATCTGCTTTTAATTTAATTATAATTTAATTAATCCCTTAGGCTTGGGTTTTTTGGACTGAAATCCATTTACATTTTCTTTTTCCCCTAACACGGAAGAGCTGTGGGTTATAAATGAACCCCCTGCCCTCCTTCTCAACCTTCCAGAGCTCCAGGGTCTCACCAGAACCACGTGAGCCCCCGAGGGCAGGGGAGCACCCATGGGTGCCTGGAGGATTTGGGGTGCAGAGGGAAGGGGGAAAAAAGGGGGAAAAAAGGGGGGAAAAAGGGGGAAAAAGGGAATTTTGGCAGCGGGATATCCATGGAATATCCAGGGATGGCTGTGGTGGCCCTTCAGCTTGGAATTCCCACTGGGAACAGCTGGAATTCCTACTGGGAACAGCCGGAATTCCCACTGGGAACAGCCGGAATTCCCACATTTCCATGCCCACAGAATCCCTTGGAATAAAAGGGATTTTCCAAACCCTTCCAAAGCTCCCAAAAGTCCCTTCCTTAAATCCCGGGGAGCCTCAGGCTCCGAATTCCCGGGAAAAGCAGGATCCGGGTGGGAATGGGGATCCAAGGGTGACCTCATTCCCTGGAAAACTGCCGGGATTTTCATCAGCGTTTCCCAATTTGCCCAGAATTCCCGGCTCCCAGAATTTGGATTTTCCCCGGAAAACACCACCCCACCCCCCTCCAAAAAAAAAAAAGAAATAAAAGGAACCAAATCCAACATTTTCCCCCCCGAAAAATCCACGGAAAACCGAGCTCCAGGGCAGCCTCCCGCTATAAAAAAATCCCCCTCTTCCCAAAAAAATTCCAAGGATTAAACCTAAGGAACAAACAAATCGGATTTTATTTACAGATTCCGTGAAGAAAATTGAAAATTTTGTATTTCCAGAGGTTTTTTTTTTTTGGGGGTTTTTTTTTTTCCCCATTTTAGGGCAATAAAATCCAACGGGATTTTTTTCTCCCGAAGCGCGGCCGCTGGAATTTTGTTGGATTTTGGTTTTTTTTTTTTTTTCCTTCCCAAAGTTTGGCTTTGGAATTTTGGGTCTCGCTCATCCCAAAGCACAGGAGGTGTTGGCAAAATCCCCGGGAAGGGAAGGAATCCCGCCCTGGATCCCTGAAATCCTGGAATTCCCGATGGATCCGGGTCAGATCCGCCCATCCCGAGGCAAAACCGGAGGCACTGCTTCCCCAAATTCCCCAAATTCTCTTGGATTTGGGATTCCCAGATAAAATCAAGGAATAAAATCAACCCCCATACACACACGCACCCCTCCCCCCCTTCCTGGAGCAGCATTTTTGGATTCCCAAAAATCCCAAAATTCCTTGGAATTGGAGCCTCCTGGGGGATTTTTTTGGGGCAGCTCCGAACTTTTCCTTTTTCAAGGAAAAAAAAAACCGGGAAAGTTTTTCCATGGGGGAAGGAGGAGCTGTGATTCCAAAAAAAAAAAAAAACCTGGGAAATATCGGGGGAAAAGAGATGGAGAATGAAGTTTGGGATAAGAATTCCTGGGAAATCTGTTGGGAAAAGCCCTCCTCAGTAGTAAGGTCGCCGTGGGTTGTTCTGTGGGGAGAAAAAACAAAAAAAAAACAACGGAAAAATCATCAGGATTGGGGAATTTCATCCCAAAAATCCAAGTTTGGGTTTTTTTGCCCCCTGGAAAATGGTAATTCCAAAGGAATCCTGGGATTGGTGGAGGAGCTTTCCTTGGCAGGGGTTTAATTGGGATAAAATTGGGATTTGGATGAAAAAATAATGGGAAGGGGAATTCTGCATCCAGGGAATTCTGGGAGGGTGAGGAGAGAATCCAAGAGGAATTTTCCAAGTGCAAACATTCCCGGAATTCCCAGAGCCACCGGAGATTCCAGGGATTTGTCCCTGTGCCCGGGGGGTTTGGGGCACTCCCATTCCAGGGGATCCATCCCTGCCCCATTCCTGGGGCTCTCCCTCATCACTGGCTCCATCCCAATCCCATCCCATTCCCATTCCCATTCCCATTCCCAATCCCAATCCCATCCCAATCCCATTCCCAATCCCAATCCCATCCCAATCCCATTCCCAATCCCAATCCCATTCCCAATCCCATTCCCAATCCCATCCCAATCCCATTCCCAATCCCAATCCCATCCCAATCCCATTCCCAATCCCATTCCCAATCCCATTCCCATTCCCAATCCCATTCCCATTCCCAGCTCCACTGGATCCATCCCATCCCATCCAGCAGTGACAGGCCAGCACTGATCCCATTCCTGTTATCCCATTCCCGTTATCCCATTCCCATGATCCCATTCCCGTTATCCCATTCCCGTTATCCCATTCCCGTTATCCCAATCCCAATCCCGTTATCCCATTCCCGTTATCCCAATCCCGTTACCCCGTACCAGCGGGTTGGGCCGGAAGCGGTACGCCAGCACTGATCCCATTATCCCATTCCCGTTATCCCAATCCCATTCCCGTTATCCCATTCCCGTTATCCCATTCCCGTTATCCCAATCCCGTTATCCCATTCCCGTTACCCCGTACCAGCGGGTTGGGCCGGAAGCGGTACGCCAGCACTGATCCCGTTATCCCATTCCCATTCCCGTTATCCCATTCCCGTTATCCCAATCCCATTCCCGTTATCCCATTCCCGTTACCCCGTACCAGCGGGTTGGGCCGGAAGCGGTACGCCAGCATCATGCGCTTGCGGAACGCCTCGTACTCGTCGTCCTCCTTGGTGAGCTCGGCCGGGCGCTCGATCCCGAATCCCGCCCCGTCCGTGGCCGTGGTGCCCCTGCGGGAACACCGGGAATGCCACGGCTCCGGAGCCCGCAATTCCCACGGGAACGGCCCCCCGGATTCCGAATTCCCGTGGTTTGGGTGGAAGCGGGGAGTGGTTTCATCCCAAAATTCCCGGGTTTTGGACGGAGGCAGAGATTGGTTTAATTCCCAAATCCCTGGGAATTTGGGTGGAAGCAAGGATCGGTTTCATCCCCAAATCCCAGGGAATTTGGATGGAAAAAGGGATTAGTTTCATTCCCGGGCTTTGGGTGAAAGCAGGAATTGGTCTCATTCCCAAATCCTTGATAATTTGAATGGAAGCAGGAATTGGTTTCATTCCCAAATTCTTGGGAATTTGGATGGAAACAGGGATTGGTCTCATCCCCAAATTCCCAGGAATTTGAATGGAAGCAGGAATTGGTTTCACCCCCAGATTCTTGGGAATTTGGATGGAAACAGGGACTGGTTTCATCCCCAAATTCCAGGGCATCTCTGATTTTAAGGATTCCATCCCGGGAGAGGGGAGGTGCAGACAGGAATTCCTGGAGCTGCGCTTCCCTATGGAAATCGGGGCTGGAAATTCAGGATTCGGGGGCTCAGACAACTCCAGCTACAGCCACGAATCCAGGAGAAAATTCCCTGAAAAACCAGGAATTTTTTTTCTCCCGGGCTAAATTTTCCATGCTCGGTTGAGGAATCCCGGCCAGGCAGCGATTCCAGCAGGAATTCCCGGAAAAAAGGGAGGAATAATCCCAAGGAAGACTCACTTGCTGACGGGATTTTTAATTCCCTGCCCGTCGGATCCCAATCCCTCTCCTTCCTTCCATCCCATTTTCATCAGCATTTGGTATCCGATGTTTTCCACCGTCAGCTTGAATTCCTTGTACTCGGAATAATCCGGCTCCCGGCCCTCCTGCGGCGGGAAAAACGGGATTTTTAATCCCACGGATCACAGGAAAAGGGGGAAAAGCAGCTCCACCCCTCCCCCCAAAAATGGGGATTTTTGGGAAAGAACTGCCAGGATTTCCTGGGATTCCAGCCCTGAGGAGGATCCAATAACGGCTCTGGAATTCCAGGTTGTTCCCTGGATCCGGTTCTGGTTTTGAGGCTGAATGCCAGGGAATGGCAGGCTGGAAAACAGGGATGAGGCAGCTTCCCGGAATTCCAGGCTTTGGGAAGGATTGGGAGGCGTTGGGAGTTGTGGGGGTTGGGGTTTCCCTGCAATCAGCTGGAGAAAAATTCCCACTTTTTTCCCAGCTTGGAGCCCAATGATCCCGGAACCGAGCGGGAGCTTTGTCTGGAATTCCAGGGAAATCCCGATCCGTGGAATTCCAGAGTGGAAAGGATCCTTCAATCCCATCCAGACCCGTGGGCAGGGACGCTTCCCACGATCCCAGACCGCTCCAAACTCTCCTTGGACACTCCCAGGGACGGGACAACCACGGATCCTTCTGGAATTCCCTCCCAGGGATGGAATTTTTCCCAAACAGAGCGGGAATCGCTCCCTGTTTTCCTGCCCGGAGCAAGGAGAGCCGGAGGAATTCCCAGCCGTGGGATGAGTCCGGAGCATTCCCAGAAATCCCCACCTTGAGCGCCTTGAAGGTCTCCATGAATTTTTCCAGCTCGTCCGGAGGGAGGAAATCTCCGATGAAATGTTTCCCTCGGCCCATCTGCGTCAGCTGCTCCGCCCACTCTGGAAAAGCGGGAAAAGCCCGAGCTCGCGGAGAATCCCTTGGGATTTGGGGAGGGATCGGGAGGGATCGTCCCTGCAGCGCCCGCTCCAACGGGACTGGGGTGGGATTCCCCCTCTGGAATGCTCTGAGGTGGGATTCCCCCTCTGGAATGCTCTGGGGTGGGATTCCCCCTCTGGAATGCTCTGGGGTGGGATTCCCCCTCTGGAATGGGATCCCACCCTGAGTCTTGCCCATCTCCCTAGAGCTGGAATTCTCTGGAATACTCAAGGCTGGAATTCCCTGTGGAATGCCAGTCCCACCCCCGGCCGGAGTTCCCATGGATTGGGATCCCACCGTGGATTCTGCCCATCCCCACCCCCGGAATTCCTGTTATTCCCACCACAGGTTCACCCCTCCCCTCTCCCGGAATTCCCGTTATTCCCAAGGTGGGTTCTGTCCCTCCCCTCTCCCGGAATTCCCGTTGTTATTCCCACCGCGGGTTTTGTCCATCTCCATGCGCCGCAGGCGGTGTTCCCAGGTTCCCAGCTCGCTGTCCACCTCCTCGTCGCTGTCGTAGCCGTGCTGGTGCTGCTGCAGCGCCCGCTCCCACAGCAGCTGCATCTCCTGCATCGCCCGCTTGTGCCGCATGATCATGTCGTACATCTGCTGCATCTGCGCCACGGGAATCCCAACGGGAACGGGAATTCCAATGGGAACGGCAACGGGAATCCCAGTGGGAATGGGAATCACAATGGGAACGGGAATGGCAATCCCAACGGGAACGGGAATTCCAATGGGAACGGCAACGGGAATCCCAGTGGGAATGGCAATCACAATGGGAACGGGAATGGCAATCCCAACGGGAACGGGAATTCCAATGGGAACGGCAACGGGAATCCCAGTGGGAATGGCAATCACAATGGGAACGGGAATGGCAATCCCAACGGGAACGGGAATCCCAGTGGGAATGGCAATCACAATGGGAACAGGAGTCCCAATGGGAACGGGAATGGGAATCCCAATGGGAACGGGAATCCCAGTGGAAACGGGAATCCCAATGGGAACAGCAATGGGAATCCCAGTGGGAATGGGAATCACAATGGGAACGGGAATCCCAGTGGGAATGGGAATCACAATGGGAACAGGAGTCCCAATGGGAACGGGAATTCCAATGGGAACGGGAACAGGAATCCCAACGGGAACGGTGTGGGAATGGCATTCCCAGTGGGAACGGCAACGGGAATCCCAACAGGAACAGGAACCCCAATGGGAACGGGAATCCCAATGGGAACAGCAATGGGAATCCCAGTGGGAACGGGAATCCCAGTGGGAATGGGAATCCCAATGGGAATGGGAATCCCAATGGGAATGGGAATCCCAATGGGAACGGGAACAGGAATCCCAATGGGAATGGTGCAGGAATGGCATTCCCAGTGGGAACAGCAACGGGAATCCCAATGGGAATGGGAACAGCAATCCGAATGGGAACAGCGCGGGAATGGCATTCCCAGTGGGAACAGGAACAGGAATCCCAATGGGAACGGCACAGGAACGGCATTCCCAGTGGGAACGGAGCGGGAATCCCAACAGCAACAGTGCAGGAGCGGTATTCCCAGTGGGAACAGGAACAGCATTCCCAATGGGAACGGTGCGGGAATGGCAATGGGAATCCCAATGGGAACAGTGCAGGAACGGCAATGGGAATCCCAATGGGAACAGTGCAGGAACGGCAATGGGAATCCCAATGGGAACAGCACGGGAATGGCAATGGGAATCCCAATGGGAACGGTGCGGGAATGGCAATGGGAATCCCAATGGGAATGGCAGGAATCTCAAAGGGAATGGTGTGGGAATGATACCGGGAATAGCACAGGAATGGCAGTGGGATCGGCAGGAATGACATGGGAATGGCAGCGGGCCAGAAAGCTCCTTTGGGATTTGGGATTTCAGGGCCGGGATCTGGGATTTCAGGCCGGGATCTGGGATTTCAGGGCCGGGATTTGGGATTTCAGGGCCGGGATCTGGGATTTCAGGGCCGGGATCTGGGATTTCAGGGCCGGGATTTGGGATTTCAGGGCTGGGATTTGGGATTTCAGGGCCGGGATTTGGGATTTCAGGGCCGGGATTTGGGATTTCAGGGCCGGGATCTGGGATTTCAGGGCCGGGATTTGGGATTTCAGGGCCGGGATCTGGGATTTCAGGGCCGGGATCTGGGATTTCAGGGCCGGGATCTGGGATTTCAGGGCCGGGATCTGGGATTTCAGGGCCGGGATTTGGGATTTCAGGGCCGGGATCTGGGATTTCAGGGCCGGGATCTGGGATTTCAGGGCCGGGATCTGGGATTTCAGGCCGGGGATTTGGGATTTCAGGGCTGGGATTTGGGATTTCAGGGCCGGGATTTGGGATTTCAGGGCCGGGATTTGGGATTTCAGGGCCGGGATCTGGGATTTCAGGGCCTGGATTTGGGATTTCAGGGCTGGAAAGCTCCTTATTCCCCAAACCCTCTGCTCTTCCCGCTGTTCCCAGGGATCCCAGGATGGGAATCATTCCCTGGGGGAGGATTTTTGGGAATCACCTCCTGCTGCTCCTTCAGCTGCTTCTTCTGGGCCTCGGAGAGCTCCGTGACTCCCACCAATCCCACGGGTTTGCCCTTCTCGTATCCCAGCCCCTTCAGGTCCTGAACTGCAGGGAAAAACAGGGAAAAAACCTTGGGAAAAACCCAATCCCACCTCGGCAGCCACCTCTGGGATCATCCCCTTCCTCCCTCCCTTCGCCCAGCCCGGCTGTGGAGGATTCCAGGGATGGAATTCCCAGGGAATGTCAGGAATTCCGGCACTTCAGGACGCGTCTGGAGGGGTTTGGGAATCACAGGAGCGGGAAGAACTGCGGGAAGCAGCTCCTTCCGTGCCTGCTCTGGGAATTCCTGATCCCAGGTTTTGTGTGGAGGTTCCCAGGGCTCACAAAATCCCGTTTTTCCCTTAGGAATTCCCTCCTCAGGCGAGGCCAAACCAGCCCCAAAAACTGGGAATTGATCCCAGATTTTGTGTGGAAATTCCCAAGGATCACAAAATCCCGTTTTTCCCTTAGGAATTCCCTCCTCAGGTGAAGCCCAGCCAGCCCAAAAAGTGGGAATTCATTATCCAGGAGCCATTCCCGAGTTTCCAGGACTCTCCACAGCAGATTTATCCCCTAAAAAAAAGCCAGGAAAAGAAATCCAGGAGCGTTATCCTGCCCCTGGGAGCTGCAATTCCCAAGGGAAATTCTGGTTCAGGAATTCCTCCCTTGGAATTCTGGCGGCTGTTGGATCAGATTGGATCAGGAATTGGATGTTCCCAGGATGGAAAAGGTGATCCTGGGTTCAGAGAGGGAATTAAAGGGAATAAAAAGGTGGGAAAAGTGAAAAAAAAAAGGAATTCTGCTTGTAATTCCCGCAGAGTGAAGGGAACAATAAAACCACTGGGAAAAAATGGGATGGACAGCAGAGATTCCTTGGAAAACTTGATCCATGTGCAGCTGAGGGAATGAAAAACTGCTCTGGAGCCACACAAAATTCCCAGGAAAACCCAATCCTGGGATACCAATCTCTCAGATACACGGAATTCCCAGGCAATCCCAATCCCCTGGATACACAGAATTCCCGGGCAATCCCAATCTTCTGGATACACAGAATTCCCAGGAAATCCCAATCCCCTGGATACAAAGACAATCCTGGGATACCAATCTCTCAGATACACGGAATTCCCAGGCAATCCCAATCCCCTGGATACACAGAATTCCCGGGCAATCCCAATCTTCTGGATACACAGAATTCCCAGGAAATCCCAATCCCCTGGATACACAGAATTCCAGGCAATCCCAATCCCTCGAACACACAGAATTCCCAGGCAATCCCAATCCCCTGGATACACAGAATTCCCAGGAAAACCCAATCCTGGGACACCAATCCCCTGGATCCCCACAGTATTCCCAGGAAATGCCAATCCCAATCCCCCAGATACACAGAATTCCCGGGAATCCCCGGGCAATCCCAATGCCCCGGACACACAGAATTCCCGGGAATTCCCAGGCAATCCCAATGCCCCGGACACACAGAATTCCCGGGAATCCTGACCTGAGAGGGGTGTGGGTGACTCCAGCTGCTGCACCAGCTGCGGCAGGGGCAGCTCCACCTTCTCCTCCTCCGGCCCCCAGCGGCTCTTCCTCTTCCTCTTGCTGCCGCCCGCGCCGGGATTCGGGATCGCGCCGGCCCCGGGGCTCCAGCACGGATTGGGGCTCGCGGCCGGATTCGGGATCGGGGCCGGATTCGGGATCGGGGCCGGATGTGGGATCGGAGCCGGATTTGGGATCGGAGCCGGATTCGGGATCGGGGCCAGATTTGGGGTCATGGCCGGATTCGTGATCGGAGCGGGATTTGGGATCGGAGCGGGATTTGGGATCGGAGCGGGATTCAGGGCCGGCGGATCCGGAGGGGAGGTGGAGGATGAGGATGGGGCAGGAGAGGCCGAGGGAATGGGAAGAGCAGCGGGAAGAGGAGCGGGAAGAGGCGGCGGGATGGGGATGGGGAGGGGCGGGAAGCACACGGGGGAGGGAGAAGCCTCGGGACCGGGTTTGAGGCCGGATTCTCCGGGAAAAGGGGAATTCCCGGGAAAAGGGGAGCCCCCGGGAAAAGGGGAATTGCTGGGAAAAGGGGAATTCCCGGGAAAAGGGGAATTCCCGGGAAAAGGGGAGCCCCCGGCGCAGGCCCTGCGCAGCTCCTGCAGCTTCTGGCGGTAGTAGCGGTGCCCTTTGCTGTGCGGCTCGTACAGGAACCTGCCGGAGCGGGAGCGGCCGGAATGCGCCGGCATTCCCAGGGAATTCCCACAGCATTCCCAGGGAATTCCCATGGCATCCCACAGGGAATTCCCACAGCATTCCCATGGCATCCAAAGGGAATTCCCACGGCATCCCCAGGGCATTCCCACGGCATCCCCAGGGCATCCTCAGAGTCTTCGCTGCATTCCCAGAACATTTCCAAGGAATTCCCATGGCATCCCCACGGCATCCTCAGAGTCTTCGCTGCATTCCCAGAACATTTCCAGAACATTCCCAGCTCTCCAGCCCCACTCAGAGCTGGGATCCAGCCGTGGAATTCCTGCTTGGAATGCTCAGAGCATTCCCAGAGCACTCCCGACTCCACTCAGAGCTGGGATCCAGCACAGTTTCCTCAGGAATTTTCCTTCCTGGAATTCCCAGAGCACTCCCAGCTCTCCAGAGCTCGGATCCAGCACTGGAATTTTCCTTCCTGGAACACCCAGAGCATTCCCAACTCTCCAGGGCTGGGATCCAGCGTGGTTTTCTCGGGAATTTTCCTTCCTGCAATTCCCAGCTCTCCAGGGTTGGGAGCAGCAAGGTTTTATTTTCCCTCCAGGAACGCTGGGAACATTCCCAGAGCATTCCAAGCTCTCCAGGGCTGGGATCCAGCACTGGATTTTTCCTCCCTGCAATTCCCAGAGCATTCCCAGAGCATTCCCAGCTCTCCAGCACCATCCCGTGTATTCCCGCAGCCAGTGCAGCTTCCCCTGGGAGCAGGGAATGCGATTCCCACAATTCCAGGAAGGAAAAGCAGCCCCAGGAATCCGGAATTTTCCCTGGGATCTCCCTGCTGCTCTCAGCACCCCAACTCTCAACTCGCTAAAACCACACTATCCTTGGAAACTCAGAATTCCCACAGTTCCCTCTGGGAATTCCCAGGGAATTTCTTGGAAAATAACCCCAGGAATCAGGAATGGGCAGGGTTCTCCCTGCTCCCACTTCATCCCCCTCTGCACCCCAAACCTGAACCCCCCAACTCCTGCCACTGTGTCTCAATAAACTCTGAATTCCCACGCTTTTCCCTGGGAATTCCCATGCTTTTCCCTGTAAATTCCGTGGGAATTCCCTGGGAATTCCCTGGAAAAGCCCCCAGGAGCCGGGAATTGTTCCCTACCTGAGGGTGGGGTTCTCCCTGTCGTTCTCAGCCCCTTTGCACCCCAAACTTGAACCCCCCCCAACTCCTGGCACTGTGTCCCAATAAACTCTGAATTCCCACGCTTTTCCCTGGGAATTCCCATGCTTTTCCCTGTAAATTCCGTGGGAATTCCCTGGAAAAGCCCCCCAGGAGCCGGGAATTGTTCCCTACCTGAGGGTGGGGTTCTCCCTGTCGTTCTCAGCCCCTCTGCACCCCAAACCTGAACCTCTCAACTCTCACTGCCCCAAAACCTCAACCCCAGTATTCCCACACTTTTCCCAGGGAATTATTCCCTAGGAATTCCCTGGAAAAGCCCCCCAGGAGCCGGGAATTGTTCCCTACCTGAGGGTGGGGTTCTCCCTGCTGTTCTCAGCCCCTCTGCACCCCAAACCTGAACCCCCCCAACTCCTGGCACTGTGTCCCAATAAACTCTGAACTCACACGCTTTTCCCAGGGAATTATTCCCTGGGAATTCCCAGGAAAAGCAGCCCCCAGGAGCCGGGAATTGTTCCCTACCTGAGGGTGGGGATCTCCCTGTTGTTCTCATCCCCCTCTGCACCCCAAACCTGAACCCCTCAACTCTCACCGCCCCAAAACCTCAACCCCAGTATTCCCACGCTTTTCCCTGTGAATTCCCAGTGAATTATTCCCAGGAAAAGCCGCCCCCAGGAGCCGGGAATTGTTCCCTACCTGAAGGCGGGGTTCTCCCTGTTGTTCTGCTCCCACCTCATCCCCCCTCTGCACCCCAAACCTGAACCCCCCCCAACTCCTGCCACGGTGTCCCAATAAACCCTGAATTCCCACGCTTTTCCCAGGGAATTATTCCCTGGAAAATCCCCCCAGGAGCCGGGAATTGTTCCCTACCTGAAGGCGGGGTTCTCCCTGTTGTTCTGCAGGGCGATGGCCTCCACCTCGGGCCCCCCCGCCGCCACCATCTGCGCCAGTTTCTCGGCCGAGCGCCGCGTCTCCAGCTCGGCTGGGGGGGAAACTTTGGGCAGGGATTAGTCCTGGGCCCGCCTCAGCCCCGCCCAGCCAAGCCCGGCCCAAGCGCCCCCGGGAGGCCTCGAGCCGGGCTTCAAGGGGGAGAAGTGGTACAGAAACAGTTCAAAACACAAAAAGTTCCGTTTAGATGGGAGTTTGGGGAGGAGGGAGGGGGCCTAACCCAGCCTAAGGACCCCAGGGAGGCTTAAAGTCGGGTTTAAAGGGGGAGAATTGGTATAGAAACAGCTCAAAATACGGAAAATTTGGTTTAAAACCCAGTTTGGGGTCAGAGATGGGGCCTAAGGACCCCAGTGAGGCCTAAAGTCAGGTTTTAAGGGTGAGAATTGGTACAGAAACAGTTCAAAATATGAAAGATTTGGTTTAAAACCCAATTTGGGGTCAGAGATGGGGCCTAAGGACCCCAGTGAGGCCTAAAGTCAGGTTTTAAGGGTGAGAATTGGTACAGAAACCGTTCAAAATACAGAAAATTTGGTTTAAAACCCAGTCTGGGGTCAGAGATGGGGCATAAGGATCTCAATTAGGTCTAAAGTCAGATTTAAAGGGTGAGAATTGGTACAGAAACAGTTCAAAATAAAAAAGATTTGGTTTAAAACCCGGTTTGGGGTCAGGGATGGGGCCCAACCCAGCCTAAGGACCCCAGTGAGGCCTAAAGCTGGGTTTAAAGGGGGAGAATTGATACAAACCCACTTTAACAGCACAAAAACTTTGGTTTAAACCTGAGTTTGGGAGCTGGGGTGGGAGAGATGAGAGATAAGGCAGCTTTGGGATCCCAAATCCCAAATTTTCCTTGTCTCAGACACTTTTCCCTATAATTAAACCACCTGGAATTATCCCTAATTACAAATTTTGGTTTTTTTTCCTGTCTCAGGCGCTTTTCCATAGGATTCCAGCACCTGGAATTATCCCTAATTTCAGGTTGTTTTTTTTTTTTCAGGAAAATTCCAAATTCCCGAGAATCTCACTTCTCCTCCC